TGCTCTCACTTCTCCCTGCTTTTGTCGATACTCAGACTTGTTATTTAATTCTTCCCTGTTTTCCAGTACAAGCTAATTATGGTGCTCTTGCAATTTGCTTTTTTTTGTTTTGGTTTGTTTTTTTCCTAATGGCTTTGGCTGTGCCATCTGGCTGGTTGGGTTTTCCCTGTACGTTTGGGGGTGGGAGATAGCTGACAAAACGACTGCGTCTGCCAAGAAAGGTTAGTGTGGCTGAGGTAGCAAGGAGAGATGTATTGCTGCCATGTGACATAAGAGGGTGGGAAGGAGCCACCAAGTTTCTGGGTGCCAAGCACAGCAAGTAGAGCTTCTCTGTTGCGTGTGTTGTGCGATTCCTTGGTATTGCTGTGTCCTTGGCTGGTCCCCTATACCTACCTGGCTGCACCTGTGCTGGAAACGGAGCAAATGTCCTTGCACCCTGTACTTGAGGTGGGACAATGACTGTCTGAACTAGCCCCTGGGCTCCTGTGGGAAATGGTTTCCCTGCACATGTTGTTCAGCTCTGCTTCTTCAGGCTTTTAGCATGTATAGTCTTTGGGTTTTTTTGGTCAGCAGAGGCTGTGGTTGCAGCCAGACGAGTCACCAAATCTTCCTTTGATGTTCTTCCTCCATGAAAAATTGTGTAGCTTTCTAGCTGAGCTTTTCAGGGTCAGCATGGTTGCCTCTAGGAAAACCAGTGCATCTTCTCTTGCCACTGGAAAAGCCAGAGGCGAAGAAAGCCTGACAACATAGACTAAAGGATTTAATGCTGTTGTAGAAGACCTAGGAAGGAAGGGAAATGGGTTCAGCTCAGTCACTGAGGTTGGACCAGACCTCCTTCAAGAGAGAAGGAAAAGTGGTAGGGCCCAAGAAAGGGAAGTCTCAGGGCAGGGAAGGTTTTCCTGGGAATATATTGAAAGTGCTAGAAAGGAAGCAGAGCACCACTGTAAGCATCTGGCTGAGCCCAGGGGATGCACGTGTGAAGTGTTGAATACCGAGTGTGCTACATTCAGTGCATATGAGTGTGGGATGTAAGTGTTTGTCTGGGCAAAGCTGTGTCCACACCTGATTTCTAGGAAGGCCATAGGTCTTGTGCTCTCCCTGTACCGAAAGAATCCTGCTTTAGTGTTTGTGCTCACTGTTCCACTGGGGAACAAACCCAAGACCTAGAAACGCACAGGGAGGCTTAGGGCCCTGGATGAGGATTGCTGCTTGGATGGTTTTACTCTGGGCTTTGTGGTTGCTGATCAGGCTATCACATGTAGGCAGATCAATCTTCACAGGCTCAGCTGCTGGTTTTCCATGGGGGCTGGTTTTCAATGGAAGACAAGCTGTGTGGGGAGGCTAGGGGGCCAAGCAAAATTCCTGCTCTGTCAGATTTTAAAAAAAATCTTCCATAAATGTTGTGGACATAAGACAAGAGTCAGTGATTTGGATTTCAGTGGAGGTAAGGTAAAACTTGCTGTTAGACCACACTTGGCTCACCTGGGGTAAGAACATGTAGGTACTGAGGAGCTGCAATGTGCACTGCCTGTCGGCCAGGCAGCAGCCAAGACTGGTTTTGGGTCTATAGGAAAGAGCTTTGTAGGGTGGGTTGAAGCAGCTGAGAGGGATGGAGAACCAATGGGTGAAAAACAAAGCTTCATTGTCCCAGGAGCACTAGAACTAATGAGCTTTGCATTTCAAAGGTGGTGAGCCTTCTTCAGACCCCGCAAAATACACGCCTGGGATTTGTCATGTTAAATCTCTGTGTGGGGGAGGAGGAGAGAGGGGCAGAGGAGGCAGAAAGCAGAGGCCAGAGGCCCTTATTTGGGTGCAAGTACCAATCTGCTGTCTGCATGAGTCTGCCTGATTTGCATATGCTCTCCTTTTCTCTGTACACAGAAAATTGTGATAAATAGAGGTTCAGGCAGTGAAGAGCATTTATTTTTATTTGCCTATTTTTGTCATTCACTTGGCATCTTTAGATGAATGGTGGAACCAGGAGGAAAAGGCTATTCTCCTTGTGAATACAGTCCTTGTGTGTGTGAGGCAGCCCGTCTCAAAGGCAGTTTGATGAATGCTGACCCCTTGCAACCTACTTTCACCTTGGAAATATCATGCCGGTGTAGTGGTCTGCATTTGTCAACTCTGCCAGCAACCCCATGGAGTCTTTCAATCGGAGCTCTGAATAGGCGGTGTTCCATGCTTTCTCACTGGGATAGCTCAGGTTCTGGTCTCTGTCCTCTCTGCTACCTGCCATCAGGTATCAGAGTGGAGGTGGAAGGACCTCCCTTGGACACTCTGCCTCCCAGTGGCCAGGCATAGACCATGTAACCCAAAGACTGTTCTGCCCTTCTGCAGGGCCTGGATCCATCTTGTTTCAGCACTGGTGGGAGCTGCCATTGCATGGGATGGTTGTCACAACCTTTTGTCCCGTCTTCTTTCTTCCTAGAGGCAAACTACTTTTCCAGCCTTCCCTTTTTCATGAGAAAGGATTTTGAAACACACAGGCTGTTCACTAGTGTCTTACTTTTCCTTCCTATTTTCTCTTTCTAGTGTGTTAGTGTTAGTAGCCCCACACTCAACACATGGGCCCATGGGCACATGTAAAGCTTCATCCCCTTCCCATCAAAGCCAGTGACTCCTGAAGCGAGGAGGCTAAAGTGAAGCCCCAAAGCACCACATGAAGATGACACTGTGCCCTGCTCAAAGCAGGGTAAGAGGAGATGTTTCATGTCGTGTTGGTCCACTGAAAGTTAAAATTGGCAGCAAAGACATCAAAGCAGGTGTGAGGATGCTTCTGCAAGATTTGCCAAGGACTCCTCTGTTCCTGTCTGATGCTGAGAGCCAGGGCAGGGAAAAGACTGCAAGCACAGCCTGCTTAATATTCTCTTCTGTTCCTCTGATCTCCCCCCTACCCTGCAGAAGCAACATGTCCCATGTTTCTGCAGAGCTTGTCCTGAGCAATAGCAGCATCTGTCAGGGGTTACGGTGGCATTAGCCTCATGGAGCTGGGAGTTAGCAGTGCTTGGCAGAGTGACAGTTCTGCTGTACCTTACATAAATCTGTATCTTGCATAAATCTATCTCTGCCTACTCTGCCAAGGTGTGTGGCCACAATTTGTCTGATTCCTCCTGCCATCCACAAGGCCTTTCAGTTTTGTAGAAGATTTTTGTTTGATTCTTGAGGCCCCTCTCCCTCCTCTTTCTTCAAACCTTCCCAGTCCATACCTTTTCCCTCATAATTTCCCCATGAATACTAGGGGAAACATATCTTGTTAAACAGGTGTTATTTTAAAATAAATTCCCATCACCTGTCCCTGTCAGGTGCTGCAGAAAGCTTCCCATATTCCCGTGAAAAGAGGGAAGGTCTTGAGCCTCCCTGTGGCTTTGGCAGCAAACCACAGAAGCCCTTCACTCACTGCCTTCTGCTACAGTCTACACATGATCCCAGGTCCTGGTTCCTTGCTCATCAGTGCTTCATGGTACTTGGTGTGCCTTGGTTGCCTCTCATCAGCTTTCTTGGATCCTTTGAGACCCTTCTGAGGCCAGAAAGTATCAGCAACTGCCCCAGGTCTTGGCCTTCTTCTAGTGTCTAAGGAAATTCTTGGGGAAAACAAGGAAACCTTTATTAAAGAGAACATTATATCCCCAACCATACTCATGCCATGTGTTTTCATAAAAAGCACCTGAAAAATAATTTGACCTCTTGAAAGCATCTCTGATCACCACAAGGCTTGGCCTGAGCTGCGCTCTCCTCCCCAGCACTACCTGGGGACTTGATGGGAGTCATGCTGCAGTGGTGGCCTGCGGGAGGCTCCACTTGCCAGTGCTCTCCTGTGTCTCTTTGTCATCCCCTCTGCCCTCAATTGCTTTATACTTTCAATAAAGAGCTATAATATGTTATAATAAAGAGCTGCTCTGAGCACCGTGGTAGAGACCAGCATAATGTTCCTGTCGGTTTTCAGGGCCAATCTCTTAGTGCGCATTACCCAGTAAAACACAATGGCCCCAAAGGAGTGTATGCTCTGTTAAGTAAACTCATCACACCCCTTGATGAGAGTCTCCACTGAGATGTATGTCCTTGGGTGCTGAGAAGGAGGTACCTGAGAGTGAGGGTACTTGTTACTGTTATTATTTACTATTGTTTGGTGTCTGGAGCAGGTCAGAGGTGAAGGTAATACACTCTTCTACCATCAGTTATGAAGGGGGGAAAAAAACCCAACCGAAGTTGTGTTGTAGCATTCACCCTGGGCTCTTAAAATGGAAGTTTCTATTTTGTCTCCAAGCCTTCTTTCTTTTGTAGGCAGACGTGAGAGCTGTAATAAGTGAATGGTCTGTATTAAGTCTATACAATGGCTCTTTAAAAAATAATTACATATGGTACAAGAGGGAGAGGAAACCACTCCATTCCTGTAAATGGCCACTTAAGAGGTGGACAATGAATAACTGTAATAAATAATCTGGTGTATCTGAGCTTTAGCATTTAGGAGGAATAAACCAGAACTCTTTCTCCATTGTCTGCTGAGATGCATCAGAAATGGAGTTGGAAGGAAAGATTTCACTCAGAGTTGTGGCAAGGTGTTGGAAAGCCCATGGGAGCGTGTAGGAGTCTCCTGCCCTCCCCGTCTCTCCCGTGTGCTTTGTTGCACTTGCCCTGCACCACCCCTCCCCATTCACAAGCATGTGCCGCTCTCCCGTGAAATGGAAGAGGCTCCCTTAAGTCTCACTTGCCTCTTGCTAATAAGTGCAAGAACAACGCCTGGGGAATAAAGCCTCTGCCGGCAGAATTAACACGTCTCCCAGATTGCTCCTTGGGTATTTAGCCCTTTGCCTCTCCAAAGGCTTTGCCATTCCACCAGCGCTCTTCCACCCTCCTCTGCCCACCGATACCTGCTCCTCGCAGACGCAACCAGCTGCTCTTCTGCTCCGTGCGAAGTCTGAGTGCCGGTATTTAAATGCAGCTGCTAAGCCCCGGTGACTAACGGAGAGCCTGGCTGGGGCTTACAACGGAGGGCTGTGTCGCTTTAAGGCATGTGATACTTTCCTGAGCAGGGATGTATTGAAATAGGCTACGGTACTTACAGCATCGTATAGCAGTGTACGTACAGCTGCCTTACTCTGCACTGCCCGCGCTGGAGTGAGGCTGCTCTGTTGTTAAACATAAACTGCTCCTCGTCCTTAAGTATCCTGGAAGCTGCAAATTATCTCAAGATCACTTCAAAGGTCTCATCAAGCAGAAGGTGATGCTAGGAGATGATTTAAAGGTGAAAATGAGAAGGTTTCCAGCCCTCAAACCTTGGCCACTTTTCTGACGGCAGAGTCTGAGACCTCAGATGTCTTCTTTACTCTGGGAACAGGATTTGTAACGACAGAGATTTTTTCTTTTTTCTTTTAATCCTGATAAAGAAGAAAGTTGGGAAGCTATTAAAATTCCCTTATTGTGATACAGATGGATTTAAAAAAGTGTTAGATCTTTCCAATGAACACTAATAGAGTGCTCTGCTCTTGGTTGGATTACTCAGGTAAGGAGCTTCTTTAGGATTTAAGATTCAGAAACCAGATCTGGAACTCATCAGATAATAACTGGAGGAATACTCACTGCCGTGTTTCTCTTCTAATGATAAGATGATCTGTGTGTAAAAGTGTGTATGTGACAGCAGATTGCTGACAAACAAGTGCATGAAGAAATGTCTGTAAGAAACTCTGGGTTTTGAGCAAAGGTAGTTTGAAATAGTGTAGTTTGAGAAAGGGGGTTTTATTTAAAAAAAAAAAAAAAAAAAAAAAGAAGGCAGGGAGCTAATAATAAAGCCTGATAAAGCCTGAGTGGGTAAAGCAAGTCTGCTGTCCATGTGGTTAAGAATATGATGCCGGAGGAAAGACACAGGAGCATTTAGCAGGCTGTAGAAGTTTGGGTTTGCTTCACTGTTTGGCTAGGATTTTTAAAGTTCAGTTTAAATAACCTGGATACCTGAAATATCCCTGTGTGGGAGTCATCTTTCCCTCTTACCTTGTTGTATAAAAAGCATGGGAGCACCACATATTACAAGAAGGCATTAATTCCTGAAGACACAGGAAGCCTACTGGGAGCTCCCTGATCTGAGGGGATTGAATCTATTTTGTGAGATAAATAGGTCTAAAAAGAGAGGAGAAAAAGTGCACTGTATACTGCAAAGTAAACAGTCAGAAATGAAATTAATTATATGCTAAGCAGTGCATCAAACAGTGCAGAGAAAGGAAGAGTCTCATGCTGATCAATATAATGTTTTGATATTTTCTATTAATTATACTTGTCAGTTTATGTGGTTCTTTTCAAACAATAAGACTTAAAGCTTCTGAAAGTCTCTGCGTTTCTTTAAAATCAGGGGCAAAATATATTTTGTATGCATAGGTGTTATCACCACTATATTTCGCTATTTTAAAATTGTTAATTTTCCTACTGCAGAAATCCCCCTGATATATCGCATACAGACTTTCTCTTTTTTTAATTTTTGTGTGAAGAAGTGATTTTTCTATGTGAGAGATTTAATCTTTCAAAGTCTTTCTTGCTCTGTGAAAATGATTTTCAGCTGATTGGATTATTAGATAGAAAACGGCATCACGTCATTGGCTGAATAAGGAGAGTGCCTGAAGTTTGATTAATTTGGCAATATGAAATGCAGCAGAAGGTGTTGTTAAGGGAACTGGACGATGTGTAGCGTAGCTGAGCCTTGCAAACCTCCCGATCCTTGCAGACATTGAGAAAGAGCTGTTGAAGTTAAAAAGTCAGAGGGAAATTCAGCCAGTTAGTACAATAATGAAGACAAGTATGAAAAATCAGGGTTGTCTATATTGGATGGCCAAGTATGCCAGCACTGGGAGACAAAGAAATTGCTCTTTCCCAAAAAAGTCTTTATAAAATTTTGACACAATCTGCTTTGTGAGAAGATCAAATCTGCTGTAGAATACATCTGAAAGTCAGACTGGACATGCTCCAGTCCCTTTGCACGCACAGGTTGGAGAAAACGAAGCTGACTTCACCTGAGGATTAGAAGATAATTCTGGGAAACAATTACTTTATTTAGCAGACAGCATCATGATTAAAAATTAATGTTCACAAAAGTCAAAACCAATAAACTGTTACTTTCTGGGTCAGTGTTAGCCTTCCAGTCTTGGTCTGGAGTATTTTTGAAATGCATCTTGGATATCTGATGATGTTGTATGCCTATCTGTAATGGATTTAAAGTAGTTTTGATACTGTCTGAACATCATGGGGTTTTTTAGCTGGCCACATGATTTTTTTTTTTTTTTAAATTTTTTAACTCCCTTCTAAATTCAGCTATGGATCAGTGTGGCACTATTTTCAAGCTTTCTGTTTACATTGGTTTTGGATTTTAGTCCTCAGATCATTACAGTTTCATTTTTACCACTGAATTATTAAAGTTACTCAGGCTCCTGTGTTGACATCTTGTTACCTCAACTGTCCTTTTTGGACATGACCTTTGTTGTATGACAACTGCATCCTGCAGGGGGGGAATAATAACCTGGAGACAAAAGACATTTAGCAAAAGGAGTGAAAAAGGGAAAAAAAACCCAACCCCCAAATCTGTTGTAATGGAAGCTGACTGTTCTCTGTGCTATAAGGCAATGGATAATAATGTCTGTCTAATATTTTGTTTAGAGAATGGCAGTGGTCTCTGCAATGTCCTGGGTCCTGTATTTGTGGATAAGTGCCTGTGCAATGCTGCTCTGTCAGGGGTCCCTCCATCACACTTTCCAGCAGCATCACCTGCACAGACCAGGTAGGACTGAGATCGGCTGTGGGATGCATTAAGATTGCAGACTCTCTGCCCATGCTCATGCCTGTCTTGATAAATGATTGAATAATCATAAAATCCATTTTATCATTTGACTTTCATGAGTTGCTTGCATTTATATTGCACAGCATCTTTTTTTTGGTCGCTCTAATATGTGTTGTGCTTTGCTGATCTGGTGTTGGAATATTAATCCTTTGGTGTCATCTTCTAACAGCTTCCCAACACAGGAATCCCATTTTGGATAACCATTTAGTTTCTCTGTCCTTATTTCTGTCTCCTCCCCATTTCATGCTGTTCTGGAGTGGGTGTGTAAGTCAGAAAGGTATTGTGACGGCACAGGTTTGGATAACTTTGCAGTTATCTGACCCAAACTGGACATGGGTTTGTTGCTTAAAATACTGGCATGAAATCTCACTCATAGTCACCAGCGTTGACCGGAGGTCGGGTGTTTGCCTTAGCATACATGAGTTATTCTAAGGTTCTCAAGTTTACCTCTGAAAATTGATGGGATTGCAAAAGTGCAGCCCAGAGGAGAATTTGGGGCCGTCTTTCAATGGACTTAAATGCCTCCAAAGTCAGAATAAATCCCACATCTTAGCAGTGGAGAATGCAGCTCACTTTGGCTGTTGCAATCCACAGAGACTGCACATTAGTAGGTTTATTGTGTTTTTATTAATAGAAATGGATCGTGTAACTTTTTCAACTGTTAATTGCGCTTTGAAGAATAGGTGCTGTGTTAAAAATTGAGGAGTTGGCACATTCTAGTGTGTTATTATCATCTGGTTAAAATTAGATGGGCCAAGAATGTCGCCTAACAAATTTGGATCCAAAGAAAGGTGGGAGAGGTTTTGAGAGCTTTAGAAAAGAAAGATGGAAAATTAACTCGCAGTAATAAATCATTTAACAATGTGGCGACTAATACTTTAATGTTTTTTGATCTAAAGGTGTACCTTCAAAGACAGACGGTCTTGAACCACAGGCCTTTAGCAACCTTAATGCCTCAAAGTTTTCCCAACTACTTTTGTGGTCCAAAAGTCATAGGTATTGGCATTGTCTTGCTTGCTTGTAATAAAATACGTATAGTACAGAGGAATAGACCTAAATCTTTGATAGACCAGCACTTGATAGCTTTGTTAGAGCATCAGGTTAACTAATGGTGTTATCTTTACTAGCTGGCACTGGAAGTTTGAGAGTATTTGAAGTTTGAGTGGCGAGGTTCTTGTTTAGGACTTGCAGAGAAATATACAAAATGTTTATTGCAATGCAATTTTAAGTAAAGCTGCTGGTCATTTGGGTCTGTCCCCCAGTGAAGGAAACAGGAAAAAACAGCCCAGCTAAACAGATAGGTAAAAGGAAAATGTAATCTTGTTTTGTAAAATCAGTTGAAACGAGTGACATTATGAGAAAAAATGAGAGCTGGGCAGATTCAGAGCTCTGCAACATTTGCCTAAGCTTGAAAAATCACCTTTTTTATGAAGCAAGAACAGCAAGACACTGAACGCATACCAAGTGTTGGGGAAATGTGAAAAATGACAAAATCTTTCACTCAGAGATGTGATACAGATAGAGTGAAGGTTTTACAGCTGCCTCATCACCTACTTAGAAACAGCCAAGCTTTCCCTCTTGCGAGCCTTTCTTGGGCAGCTTCTCCACACCCTGCATGAATAAGATTGATGGTGTTCTGATCCCAGGCAGCCAATTTCAGTCTCTCAAGAAATAATCCACTACGCTGACAGATGAGTGGAATTTGACATGATGTTCACCTCGGATTCAGATTGTGCTGCACCTGGGAAGTACCAGCTAGTGAGCATCCTTTAGGGAAACTGTTAAGGGTTTTTGGACAATTTCTGCTGTCACAACAAAAAATCAAGACAGTGTTTTTTATAAGGCCGTGAATTTGCAGTCTGCCAACTGAATGTGAAAGGTTGTACATAAAAGGGATGGAAATATGTTAACTAGCAAACTGAGTGATTTTAATGTATTCGACTGCAGTCCCTGAGCAAACCCTATTTTTCATATTTATAATATTAGGAATGCGTCATTTACTTTTAGTTAGTCACTGTGTAAGTAAGATTAAAATGTTCAGCCAAATAAAAGTTGAATAAAAAATGGATGCAGATGAGCCACTGCATAATTTCAGTAATTTAATATTTGGTATATGGAACTTCAACTTATTGAATCATGGCAAATATAGCTGTAATCAATAGCATGCTCAGCATACCTTTTCCTTCAGTTCATGATCTTCCATAGATAATGAGATGCTCAAAAATAAGAGATTTTGAGCTGCACAACTCCATCGTGGAGTTACTTTGGAACAAGATAATTAAAAAGGCAGGTTCCACCCCAGCTTGTGCTTCTCATACTTCATGAATAGAAGAGTCTCACTGAGTGCAGGAAGGTGCAGGTAAAAGGTAAATCCTCATGGAGTGTATTTAACATAATAAAGTTGAACTGAACTCAGTGGATTAGCACAGTGAATATATCCATCTGTACTACTGCAGTTAATCCAGTTTTGAAACACTGGAAACCAAGGGCAATGTATGGAAAGGTTAGATTATCACCAGAGATTTCTGACCTTGTTCTTTTTTTTCTGAAACTTTCTTAAGCAAGTGTCTGGATGGGTTCAAATTGATTTCTGCACACTATGTGCAATCACAAAAGTTTTAAGCTTCCTTTCAGTGTAGTATAATTTTTCAGTTTTATAATTCAGTACTTCTTTATTCAGTTAATGACTTAGCAGAAGGTATGAACCTGAAAACAAATGCAATAAACTGCTTTACGTGACAGTATTGGTAATTGACTGTAGCTTTATTTTCTCTGAAATGTTGGCAGGTGGGCACTGATAATAAGGGCATAGTAAATATTGCTTGAATATAAGACAGATGATGTTGTATTATTTGTACCTGTTCATGAATTTTTCTCTTGTCTCATTAATGCAATGAGAAGTTTGAATGCCTTGTTAAGTACCCTTAAGTATTGGTGACTGTTCCTTTTCACTCTGATAGATGAGGTGGGCAGGGCTGATTTTCAGGCTTCTTTGCTGGGATCCAGAGGAGTTCAGCTTTGGTGTAAGCTAGCTGAACACCATTGCAGTATAATTCCCCTTGGGTAATACACACAGCTTTCTGCAGGTTTTTTTATGACTATATTTCATTTTCATGAAAATTACGTTAGGCAAAGGATGTATGAAAGCATTCACAGGAAATAACTTTATGTGGAAACAAATCTCCATTTTTTTCAAGCATGTCACTTCTGTATGATTTAATAAGGAACAGTGGTAATGAGAAGAATTCCACATTGGCTGCCTTGGGCTCTAGGATACACACAGTTGTAGAGCTGTTGAATTGGCCTGAGGATTAAAGTGGACAGATTGTGGTTTCCAGAGTTAACTGAGTGCCTGTGATAGTCCATTGGTCATCTGATCGACAGGATTGACCCTGCCCAGATGTAGGAAGTAGATATTGGCATTTGGTAAGACAAGACATTAACGAAGTAAAGGATACAAGTTTAAAAGATAACCACCATCCTTTCAATGATGCAATTCTTAGCAAATTTTCTGGCTCTTTTTCCATAAACTAGGGATGTTTTGTTCCCAGTGAGGACCATCAGCTAGTGTTGAATCACAGCGGGTAACACTGGCCATGTGTTGCTTAAAAATACAGGAAAGCACATTGGATTCGCTAAGTTTGTGCAAAATAATTAGGTACACATCAAGGATGCCAGGTTAGTCTTGCATGCAGCGTGAAGGTGCGAGGCAGACACGAGCAGAAACATGTACCTACTGTAGCAATGCTGACATTTGCAAATACGTTAATTAAAAATAGGCCTATTCAGAGGAGGAAATCATGGACTGAATCAAGGCTGGCATTGTATGTGGACTAAACATGAAGTACCTTTTATTGTGACAGTAGTTAATGATGTGCCCATAAAAAAAATCATCTCAAGAACTGATTCTCTATACCTCGTATTATGAGGGGGAAAATCAGTCCAAAAGCAATTCTAAACAAACTAACGAGGAACGTCAACCTAAGGACGCGCTGAGCCCATTTTTCTGTAGACAGCATTTTGCAGAAGCTTGAGTCTGTGGCTGTGAGCAAAAAATTTCTTAGTTCTGATCTTGGCCTTCCCACTGATTTTTATAGCCTTGGGGGAAACTGCACATTTCAAAATATTTGCTTTTTTCATATGCCCCATATATGTGGCTATTCAGTCCAAAACAGACTGGGAAGAATGTTAATCTGAACAGAATTCCTCAGGAAAGTGCAAATAAAATACATGTCTTTACTTGGTAGAACAATTGAGATTTGGAAGATGAATTCAACAGGATTTTTGCTCTTGATATTGATAGAATCAAGTGTAGGACCAGGTAGCTCATAGATTAATGTATACGGTTTCTATGATTAGCAAGAATTGTGTTCCATTATAAATGGAATGCAAACTGTTGCCTTCAGTGTACAATGTCCAAATTGCCATGCAGAAACTTAGCCAGTATCCAGCAGATCACGTCACGGGCACGAAAGCTGCAAACTAGTTTTTCTTGCTGTGTTAATTAAAATGAACAAATTTATGAACTCTAAGGCCTGTTTCAGATTTCATTTACACCAGTAAGTGCAGAGGAAATACCACATGTATCCTGGTTTGCTCAAAATCAGAAAAACCTGCTCATGGCAAGCTATTCCCATCACTCACTGGAAATCATCTCTTTGGTGATACCTTTCTGTTATGTACCTCTGGCCTTCACAGTCTGCTCTTGAAATGTGAAACTACCAGCTGCTGAGTAAAGAAATCCTGGTTGGAGGTACCTGCTGTGTTCCTGGTCTAACACAAAATATATTTGGATGTATGTGGACGATATACATATTCATATGTATTTTGTGTAGAGAACTGATGTAATGAAATCAACACTTCAGGATGAAGTAGGATTACTAGCAGCATGATAGCAATGAGTTTCCTACTGTGCTTGTGTGATGCACTTGTTTACAGCAGCAGACGTTATCAGAAGTATTGCACCCTGTGA